GATGGTTTTACTACTCATGTTAAAACAAACGTCGTTATTTACGTTTAATCGACCAGATTTTGATAGTTTTGTCCGCCCCTGAACTTATGATCCAACCCGCATCCAAAGAGTAATTAGAATGCTACAAGATTACAAAGAAAAACGTGAGTTATTTACACAAAAACTAAAACTGCAAAAAGTATAAACATGTATACTCACCAGTCACCACACTATAAACTTCACCATGATGACCGTTGGTTCCAGACAATATTAGAATGCATACCCCAATGTCAATATTCCACAATTTAACCTATTTATCCTCATAGGTTTCATTTAACAGGAGGCAAATTAAAACATTTTATTTCACTGCAGTACAATGTATTTTACTTTTAAAGAAAAATAATTCACCTTGCTTGCACTTAAGACAAGTGAACGACCAAACGAGCACGGTCTGATTTTCATTGATTGCACTTTGATGCCCTCTCAAATTCTGCAAATTAAATGGAAGGCAAATTAGACAAGAACATGTTTCGATCGTTATATAGTCCCTCAATCTTGATTTTTTTACCTTAGAAAAAGTAAGTCTGGCTGAGTCTACGTGATAGTCGAATTCCATTACTCGTACAATCCCACGTAAACCTCCTGACACTACCAATGGCAGGTTACCAGTACCTTTTTCCCAGCTAACGGTGTAAAAGGACTCAAATTTCTGAAAATGATTACAAAAAGTAAAAAGGCATAAAAATCTACATATTCGCCCATACCTTGAGAAGTACCCAAAATCAAATTCCTATCACAAACCCAAACGATTCTGTATGAATAAACAAGTTTCAACCATCGATTTCAGTCAGATCCTCTATGATTCAGCTTAATAAAACAAGTTTGAATAATCGATGGCCAAAGCGTGTGCTCTTTAGTCTGGAAGAAAGCGATGAATGTATCTCTCACCTTCGTCGCCGGCCACTGTAGCTCTGACTTCGACCTCACTCCGACGAGAAAGTTTACGGAAGAGAAGAGCGATGGATGATCGGTGGAGTGTGTAAACCCTAAACAAAATTTTCTGAGAGAAAATGCAGACGCGTTTCTTAATCTCTCTCTCCTTCAAGAACCAAAGTTAGTGTCTCTTCGTCTTCATCACTCCCATTGCGTATAGTCATTTATGTGGACTGCCATTTTTAGGAACTCTCTTGTTTGGTTTAGTGACTGTGTGTATACCCTTTTTGAACAAGCTAAGGCAGTGTACAATAGAGCCATTTTGATTCATAACCGCGTGCTTCTCCTGCCTTTGCCTATTTACTGTGTTTTATTCTCATTCTTCTTACCAATTAGTCATCGCATATAAGCTGTGCAATCATCTTCCTAGAATTCGATAGAAATCCAACTCTTACTAATAAATTCAGATGCAAATGTCTGAATTAATCAACATGTAATCAATTCTTAATTTATATTTGTTTTCTGTTTATGTCAAGAAAAAGAACATTAATTGAACAACTGGAATCAAGAAAAACATTTATCTAATCCTTGTTTTTTTTTTGTCAACCAAACTTTAATTAAAATATGCCACCATGATTGGTAATCCAATTTGGTGGAGAGTTGTTTACAAAAGAAAAAATTTCAAATCTAGAGCGTGCAGAA